TCAGTTCCATCTACAATGTTATATGATGATGTGAGGTGGGCATACGCCCAAGATGGTGAGATAGTGAAGTTGTTGTCACATCTCTCCCAACCATCTCGAGAATCGTTGAAACGATTGTCGTCCGCGTATCGATCTGCATCAGATCGATACACTACTCGTAACGGTTTACTGTACTATACAGCCGTTTCTGGTGACACACCACGTGTTGTCATTCCAGATGATACTGATCTGCGTTTGCGGATCATGTTCGAGTATCACGATGCTCCTATAGGAGGACATCGTGGCCGAGAGAAAACACATCTCACGGTAAGTCGAGACTTTTACTGGCCCCGCCAGTATCAGTTTGTGCGAAAGTATGTTCGCGCATGCGAAGTCTGTCAACGAGTGAAGTCAAGTCCTTTACTGCGTGCACCTTTACAGCCTCTACCGGTTCCGGCTGAGTGCTGGGAATCCATCTCAATGGATTTCGTCTTCGGGTTACCCAGAGACGCACGCGGGAATACGGGTATTCTCGTATTTGTTGACAGATTCAGCAAAATGGTACACCTTGTGGCTGTACCAGAGACAATCACGGCAAGTGGCTGTGCTTGTGTCTTTATTGACACCATCTTCCGACTTCATGGGTTGCCCCGTGAACTCGTATCAGACAGAGATCCACGAATCACTGCTGATTTCTGGCGTTCCGTGTTCAAATCACTCGGAACGCGCTTGAAGATGTCAACATCTGATCATACAGAGTCAGATGGTCAGACGGAACGTGCCAATCGTGTCCTTGAAGAGATACTTCGAGGATACGTACACTCCTTTAAGAGTTGGAGTGAGTTTTTGCCAATGGTAGAGTTTGCCATCAACAACTCGCTGCATGCGTCCACGACACATACACCGTTTTACGTGAATGGCTTGCGCCATCCGCGTGTACCCACCTTACTAGAGTGTAACTCTGGTTTAAGGGGGGGAGGGACTCGCGCGAGCAAAAACCGATTTGGTTCACGCTCATCACGCTCTGACGAAGAAGTCAGTGCGTTTGATGCCGATATCGATAACATCGATATCGAAGAAGATGATGCCAGTGAGAGTGCGGAAGCCCTCACTGAAGAAGATGATCCCAGTGAGAGTGCGGAAGCCCTCACTGAAGAAAAGGTTGATGTTGCTGCAGTGCGCTCACAGCACAATGAAGCTAACGAGTCATCAGATGAGTTCATACTGGCTCGTGAAACGGTAGTCCGTTTTGTGCAAGACTCCATCGCCGAAGCGGTGGATAAGCAAAAGCAAAACGCTGAGAATGGAAGGGCAAACACTCTTTTATTTAATAAAGTTGACTTAGTCCTACTGTCTACGGTTAATCTACCAAAGCATGTAGTGACTAACTTGGGTAGCAGTAAACTACTACCCAAGTACATCGGCCCATTTCGTGTATTGCACCGCCTAGGCAATGCATACACGATCGAGTTACCACGTAAGATGCGAACGCATCCCACGTTTTACGTTGGTCGGCTTAAGCCGTACCATCAGTACGCTGCTTCTTCCGATGAAGAACTCCCTTGCGCTCAAGCATCTCGCAGAGAGCCTTGTGCTCCCGATGGTGGGCATCAACAAGGGTCTGAAGAGCAGCTATCTCATCCCGAGACCGATCAGCAATCCCACGAGCTACCCTTAGCTCGTCATGAAGAGATGTCAGAGATCTCTCGTTCTCAAGCTGAGCAAAGGCAAACTCAGCTCGATGCTTCGAGGCAGTGTCCGCCATTTGGAGACGCCTATTCCGCTCATGTTCGAGATCGTCGCGTAACCCTTGCGTTACGCGATCAAAGAAGCTCTCGGGAACACACCGATCCACATGATCGTGTGGAGAGCGTCTTTCCTCCTCCTCCACCTCCATTAGAGGACTCTCGAGGTGGCCAGCGCTATCTAGTTGAGTAGCTGTTGAAACACCGCGACGTGAACGGACGTCGGACGAGTTATCTCGTCCGGTGGCGCGGCTATCCTCCGTCCTGGGATACTTGGGAGCCCCGCTCCCAACTGATGTTTGACGTACTGGGTCTGGTTGAGCAGTACGACGCGGCACATCCTGTGCCGCAGAAGGACCGCCGGAGAAAGTCTTCCCGGCACGGTCGTAAAGGGATTTCAGGTTGTAAATCCCTTCGTACATCTCAGTAGAGATACGTACGCGCCACCACGGGCTAGTAAGGAGGTAAGCCTCCTTAGGTGCTCGTGCAGAGTTGTTCACACAACATGGGCACGAGTCTCCCCAAGAGAGGCAGGGTAATCCCTTCTCCCTTGACAGACGATGCAGCTTGTAGCGTGCACCTGTCGGGGTTCGCTTTTCAAACTTATCACGAGCTTTGATAAGTTTGTCGTTCCAAACGTCACGACCTACACCCTCAAGGTTATGGATGCAGGCGTTCCACGCTTGAAGTAGTGAGGGACCATCACGCTTGTGATTCCCACTGTACCATCGATGTCTAAAGAAAGCATCGATGAAGAATTCATTATCAGCGCGATAGTTTTTCGCGCTGGGGTCAAGGTGATGGATCCTTGACGAATCGAACAACCGTGTTCGATAACGATCACTCGTCGTCGCCGACAAGTGATCCATGACGGATTTTGGAGGCATCCATGCCTTCTTCTCAGGAGCGAGACGCAAGACATTGCGGTCCCGCTCTTCTTGCGACGTGCCGACAGAAGGACCGGCACCTCGTTGCGAAGTGGTGTCCGTAGGAGAACCGACACCACTGTTCGCGCCCGAGTCTCGCGACCTCGAGCGCCTTCGCTTCGGCGATGGTTCATCTGATTCATCAGATGAACCAAAGATGCTGCGACGCAAAGCATCGTCCATGCCACGCTTGGCAGGCGGCTTAGATTCAATCGCCGTCGATACGGACCCGTCTTCCGTATCAGGAGAGTACGAGAAACCGAGCTCGTACTCTGTGATGACACGAGTGTCTTCATGACCAGCGCCTGCATCACCAAGTGACACAGGCTGAGTCGCTTCAGCAACCGATGAGACATCAGTTGCTGTTGTTTCTGCTTAGGCGTCCGCACAGAGACGTGCGGACGCGCTCTCGGCGGCCTTGCTCGCGCATCGCATGGGCTTGTTAACCATGCGATGAGATGTTGGAAAGTGGACGCGGTCCAACAAGTGCAAACCCCGTCCCAAATGATTTGGGACGAGTATCCATTTAGCCAATCAGTCACTAAAGTGACTGATGGTTAGGGGAGGGGTGATGTAACGGGGTGAATCGTTACATAACAATTTATAAGAAATTGTTAATAGAATATAACTATAAGAGTTATATTCTCAGAATATTGTCATAAAGATGAATTTTCTGTAGCACTTACAAGCAGTTCCTAATTGGTTGATATAGGCCATTATATCAACCAACGAAGACGCGCCACGACAGACGCACGCAATGAGTGGTGAGCAGATCATTGATTTACACATTTGTATTTAGACATAGTTAGATGAAGATAAATAGTGATTTATTGCAGACATTAACTATACTAAATACAGTTCTACTTTTTACTTTAACCGAGTACTCGCTTCTTCTTACCGTCTTCCTCTGCACGTACGAGTGTACGTGAAGTTACGAGGCACCGCCTTATTCTGTCATCAGAATAAGTAGCTTGTACTGTCACCAGTATAAGCTTTAGGGTGCCCCGTTACATCAGTAGTATACCCGGGCCCTTGATGGAATGCATGGGTCCTTAAAAGAAATCTCGGGATACCCAAGAGTGAAGCTGAATACGCCAAAGAAAGAAATACTGATGTGACTGACTAAGGCAGAAGAAAGCATGAAAAGAGAAAGGAAGCGTGCATATTCAATCGCGAGAGACCTAAGAGGATGGAGTAACCTTGATTTGAAAGCAGAGGACCAAGCTTCCAGGATGAGGCTCCAACGACAATTGGAACTGCATGAGCCAGTGCCACGTAGAGCCGGTGGCTTGAAGGACTTCCGCGAAGTCGACCGGATACGACCGTTCTTCACGACCGGGATACCAATGCAAAACTAAGCGAGTTTGAGGAGGATTCTAGTAAAGGAATCAAGAAGGATGTCAAGGTCGCATCGTCCGTCACTCTGTCCTTTTAGGATTAGCTAACGAATTCCCGCCACACCCGAGTGGCTCGACCTCTACGCTTCTTCCGTGCATTGTAGTAGGAAATTTAATGTCGTTTTTACATACAGGGGCTTGCCAACCAAAGCGCTTGAATGTGTGTTTCATCGAAGCGCACGCAAACGAAGCCATATCGGCGAAACAGCTCACTAATCGGAAGGATACGGCGGGGTCGGTACTCCGGAGAAATATCACGGGGTGGTAATTTTTTTTTTTTAGCATGGTGGGGTTGACCAGAGATAATCTAAATTAAGATGGGGCGGTCGATATTTTCGTACCGTCGACCAAAACATCCTCACGGAAACTTTAGACGGTCGAACAAGTCTCTAGATATCGTTTTAAAGACGCACCAGGAGTTGAAAAAGTGTACTGATCGTGTGGACCTATCTTTCCTCCTGCAACCGTAGAAGAGACCGTCTTTACAGAGCTGACTCGGCCTCGCGTCGGTATACTCGAACATCGCTCGATTTAACGAGCGGTGTTGTTCCTGGTATGTAATGCCTTGATGGAAAATACAAAAGTGATTGCATTAGGTCCTTAGTTCACATACAAGCTGCTACTTTAAGCCTTATAGATTCCATGGATAATTCTTTCTCGATTTCAACTGGGACAAAACTCGATGGATTGCACAACGTGCTCTTATACGGTCGGTCCGCAACCATTCTGAGACGGGATTGTACAACGTGCGCGAAGAAGTCAACCGCAATCATTCTGGAGCGGGATTGCACACCGTGTGCGTAAACGACGTCGAAAGCCATTCTGAAACGAGTGCCTTTGCTACATATTCCCTGAGCGGAGTTCGCGTTGGTGCATTAGGAAGTCTTTCACTAAATTGCGCCAATGTGTAACGTGTCTGATGTTTTTTTTTCTTTTTCCTAAGTACACTCGTGCTATATAAGTCCATGCCACCGGACGAGCCACTCTGGTTGTCTGCTAACCATGCGCTTTTTGACAAGCGCTTCCACAATGTGCAACTCGTCACCGGTGGCTTCATCAAGTTTCACCGGTACTGATTCTGGCACCGGTCTACTGTAAAACCGCACAGGGTTTGGCACAAAGTGGCTTAACAAATCGATGTTGAAGCTCGGGTGCAACTTGAGGAGTGCTCGAGGGAGAGTAATCTTGGCCACATTCTGGTTAATCATCATCTCAATCTTGAACGGCCCGATCCTCTTCGCAACTAGCTGAATGTGTTGCATCTTGACCGTTGTTGCGACGGCGTAAATTGAGATGTCTAGAGTCAAGAACAACTATGTCCCCAGCATAAAACGTGATACTGCTGCGTTTACTGTCGTAAAACTCTTTTGATTTCTTTTGAGCATTCATTAAGTTCTTCCGTGCAAATTCGATGATCTTCTGTCTTCTGTCTGCAAATTTCTTAGCGTAGTCGGATATACCGGTCTTCGTCACCTTGTCACTGGAGTCGCCTGTTATAGCGTTGTTGCATTTCCGTCCCGTGTCAATTTCGAATGGTGAGAGGTGGGTAGACTTGCTTGCCAGTGTAGCGTGCGCAAACTCTATAGTACTGAGATGCTCTGACCAGCCACTTCCATGGTACGAAACCATACATGGTAGAGCATTTCCAAAATTAAATTTTGACGCTCTGTTTGACAGTCCGCTTGTGCGCGGTGAGATGTCGTCATTGAAAGCCTAGTACCCATGACCGCCATGAGAGATCTCTAACGTGGCCTACCCACGAGCAAGAACTATTAGAGATCAAGGCAGATCTTTCCAAATGGCGCCATTACCTTCATATACGTTCTTTCGACGTGTTTACAGACAATACTGCGTGCCGCTGGATGCTTCATCATCCCAAAGATCTCCAAAAGTTTGACGCAAATTTCGGGTCGCGACCACTTATGATGACCTTCGGTAGACCGTGAAAGCGGACTACCACATCAAAGAAAAGTATAGCAACTTGTGGCGCGTCGACGTTGGTGTGCGTGGCAGCATATCTTGGACGTTTCGACAGTTTATCAACTACAGCCATGATCGCGTCAAACCCGCTTGACACTGGTAGTCCCGTAATAAAATCCATCGACTCAACTTCCCAACAGTCTTCTGGTATAGGTATTGGCATGAGCTTTCCATTTTTCTGCAGTGTGCTCGTCTTCCATCGCACACATGTACCACAGCTTGATACATAATCGCGTACATCTAGTTCCAAGTTTGGCCAAAAGTACCATTGCGCCACCTTTAACTGATTGCGACGTGTTCCTGGATGTGCCGCTGTGTTCCCATCGTGATCTTCTTGGAGGATACCGGTGATCAACCGTTTGTCCGATTTAACGCAGTGTCGACTGACAGAATGCTTTGTTTTCAGATAAAGAAGCCCAATCTTCAACACGTGCTTCTCATGAACTTTGTATAGAGCACTCTGAAATTCCCGATCATGCGCGTAGCCGACCTTAAACGATTTCTTCATCGCTGGGGAGAGGTGCGCACTTGATACCACAAACTCGATGTGCTGAACTTGATCATGCACGTGTACTTGCTGAATCTGATTTACACCAACGTGGTGAAGTACACCACTCACCCCCCGAAGGTCATGCACATCGAGCAGAAGTTCTTGATCAAGACGCGAGCCGGAGCACAGAGCTCTCAATTGGACACCGTGACGACGCAGACTTTTATCGTGAACAACGCACTACTGCCCACAGTCATGAATACGAGGCATTGAAGCTAATAAAGGGTCTGCAAGCGGAATGACCCCGTTCGGCCGTGACAACGCATCGGCGACCACGTTGGAGGTGCCTTTGACATGTGCAACGTAAAGTCGAACTGCAAGAAAAATGTCAACATTCGAGCCAATTTCGGTGTAATCAAGGGACGGTGAAGCATCCAGCGGCCCGCAGTATTGTCTGTAAACACATCGAAAGAACATCCGTGAAGGTAATGGCGCCATTTGGAAAGAGCTGTCTTGATTGCTAATAGTTCTTGCTCGTGGGCAGGCCACGCTTGCTCATGAACACCAAACTTCTTAGAGTAAAACGCGAGGGGGTGACCTTTGCCATCCGCAATCTGGGACAGGACGCCACCCTTGCAGCACCCGGAAGCATCTGTGGTGACAGTAAATGGTATCGCGAAGTTCGGTAGCTGAAGCACAGGTGCTTGTTGTAGGGCGACCTTTACGTCGCGAAATGCTTTGTCTTGATTGTGCAACCACTCCCACCGCACTTCCTTTATAACGAGCTTCGTAAGGGGTAGTGCAATTTGTGCAAAAGCACATATTATCCGTCGATAGTATCCAGCTAATCCGCGAAAGCTCAATAGTTCTTTCCGCGTGCTTGGTGCCTTCATCTGCTCAATAGCTGTTGTCTTCCGCTGATCCACCCTCAAGCCATTCTTTGATATTGTATGGCCTAAAAACGCTACACTGTCCTTGCCAAAAGAGCACTTTCCCCGATGTGCGTAGAGCTTCTCTTGGCACGGTACCTAAACACTTCGCGCAGATGTCGAATGTGATCTGCGTTCGACTTGAAAAAGACGCAAATGTCGTCAAGGTACGCAACCTCGAAGTCAAATTTATCGAAGAGGACCCGCATAAGTCGGGACCAGACACCTGGCATTCCTGCCAAGCCAATAGGTGCAACACAACATTGGTATATCTCCATGTGAGTCCGAAAAGCCGTGTGTTGACGGCTGGGTTCGTTTACAAGCATCTGATTATATCCTTGAGCCAATTCTATCACAGTGTAAACAGTACAGCCTGTCATTTGATAAAAAGCTCCTCAATGAGAGACAGAGGAATTTTTGGAATCTTGGTCTGACTGTTCACGTATCGATAATCGATAACCCAGCGAATAGGTTGCGAGCAATTTCCCGAACGAAGCCGCTGACCCCGGGTGGGAGCTTGTCTAGTAACATGGTTCTGTTTTGGTATAGCAAAGACATTGAAAACCTACGGTGAGTTTGAGACTTCTACCCAGCCTTCTTAAGGTTCTCTGTCACGAAGGACTCGAGCGCTGCTTGCTCCGTCTTGGACAGACAAAAGAGGGCTCGAGAGCTGGGAATGGCATTCGGTTTCATCCCAATTTTGAACTGCACAGCACGTGTCGACGGGAGACCATCAGGAATCGTTTCAGGAAAAACATCGCTGTTTTCCAAAATGAGATCATAAACCCATACAGGGATGATATCGCTTGTGGTAACAGGGGATACCTTTAACATGTAAATCTTGGCGTATTCGTCTATTCGCACATACAACGGTCGCGAAGGTCCACTTCGTACAGGGCTTTAATTACTTTGATCTGGATGGGCCAACCCGTTCTCGTTCATGCCATCGGTGTAACGGGGCAACCTGAAGCTTGTACTGGTGACAGTACAAGCTACTTATTCTGATGACAGAATAAGGCGGTGCCTCGGAACTTCACGTACACTCGTACGTGCAGAGGAAGACGGTAAGAAGAAGCGAGTACTTGGTTAAAGTAAAAAGTAGAACTGTATTTAGTATAGTTAATGTCTGCAATAACTCACTATTTATCTTCATCTAACTATGTCTAAATACAAATGTGTAAATCAATGATCTGCTCACCACTCATTGCGTGCGTCTGTCGTGGCGCGTCTTCGTTGGTTCATATAATGGCCTATATCAACCAATTAGGAACTGCTTGTAAGTGCTACAGAATATTTATCCTTATGACAATATTCTGAGAATATGACTCTTATAGTTATATCATATGAACAATTTCTTATAAATTGTTATGTAACGATTCACCCCGTTACATCACCCTCCCCTAACCATCAGTCACTTTAGTGACTGATTGGCTAAATGGATACTCGTCCCAAATCATTTGGGACGGGGTTTGCACTTGTTGGTCCGCGTCCACTTTCCAACATCTCATCGCATGGTTAACAAGCCCATGCGATGCGCGAGCAAGGCCGCCGAGAGCGCGTCCGCACGTCTCTGTGCGGACGCCTAAGCAGAAACAACAGCAACTGATGTCTCATCGGTTGCTGAAGCGACTCAGCCTGTGTCACTTGGTGATGCAGGCGCTGGTCATGAAGACACTCGTGTCATCACAGAGTACGAGCTCGGTGTCTCGTACTCTCCTGATACGGATGACGGATCCGTATCGACGGCGATTGAATCTAAGCCGCCTGCCAAGCGTGGCATGGATGATGCTTTGCGTCGCAGCATCTTTGGTTCATCTGATGAATCAGATGAACCATCGCCGAAGCGAAGGCGCTCGAGGTCGCGAGACTCGGGCGCGAACAGTGGTGTCGGTTCTCCTACGGACACCACTTCGCAACGAGTGCCGGTCCTTCTGTCGGCACGTCGCAAGAAGAGCGGGACCGCAATGTCTTGCGTCTCGCTCCTGAGAAGAAGGCATGGATGCCTCCAAAATCCGTCATGGATCACTTGTCGGCGACGACGAGTGATCGTTATCGAACACGGTTGTTCGATTCGTCAAGGATCCATCACCTTGACCCCAGCGCGAAAAACTATCGCGCTGATAATGAATTCTTCATCGATGCTTTCTTTAGACATCGATGGTACAGTGGGAATCACAAGCGTGATGGTCCCTCACTACTTCAAGCGTGGAACGCCTACATCCATAACCTTGAGGGTGTAGGTCGTGACGTTTGGACCGACAAACTTATCAAAGATTCGTGATAAGTTTGAAAAGCGAACCCCGACAGGTGCACGCTACAAGCTGCATCGTCTGTCAAGGGAGAAGGGATTACCCTGCCTCTCTTGGGGAGACTCGTGCCCATGTTGTGTGAACAACTCTGCACGAGCACCTAAGGAGGCTTACCTCCTTACTAGCCCGTGGTGGCGCGTACGTATCTCTACTGAGATGTACGAAGGGATTTACAACCTGAAATCCCTTTACGACCGTGCCGGGAAGACTTTCTCCGGCGGTCCTTCTGCGGCACAGGATGTGCCGCGTCGTACTGCTCGACCAGACCCAGTACGTCAACCATCAGTTGGGAGCGGGGCTCCCAAGTATCCCAGGACGGAGGATAGCCGCGCCACCGGACGAGATAACTCGTCCGACGTCCGTTCACGTCGCGGTGTTTCAACAGCTGCTCAACTAGATAGCGCTGGCCACCTCGAGAGTCCTCTAATGGAGGTGGAGGAGGAGGAAAGACGCTCTCCACACGATCATGTGGATCGGTGTGTTCCCGAGAGCTTCTTTGATCGCGTAACGCAAGGGTTACGCGACGATCTCGAACATGAGCGGAATAGGCGTCTCCAACTGGCGGACACTGTCTCGAGCATCGAGCTGAGTTTGCCTTTGCTCAGCCTGAGAACGAGAGAGCTCTGACATCTCTTCGTGACGAGCTAAGGGTAGCTCGTGGTATTGTTGATCGGTCTCGGGATGAGATAGCTGCTCTCCAGACCCTTGTTGATGCCCATCATCGGGAGTACAAGGCTCTCTGCGAGATGCTTGGACGCAAGGGCGTTCTTCATCGGAAGAAGCAGCGTACTGATGGTGCGGCTTAAGCCGACCAACGTAAAACGTGGGATGCGTTCGCATCTTACGTGGCAACTCGATCGCGTATGCATTGCCTAGGCGGTGCAATACACGAAATGGGCCGATGTACTTGGGTAGTAGTTTACTACTACCCAAGTTAGTCACTACATTCTTTGGTAGATTAACCGTAGACAGTAGGACTAAGTCACCTTTGTTAAATAAAAGAGTGTTTGCCCTTCCATTCTCAGCGTTTTGCTTTTGCTTATCCACCGCTTCGGCGATGGAGTCTTGCACAAAACGGACTACCGTTTCACGAGCCAGTATGAACTCATCTGATGACTCGTTAGCTTCATTGTGCTGTGAGCGCACTGCAGCAACATCAACCTTTTCTTCAGTGAGGGCTTCCGACTTTTTTTCACTCTCACTGGCATCATCTTCTTCGATATCGATGTTATCGATATCGGCATCAAACGCAATGACTTCTTCGTCAGAGCGTTATGAGCGTGAAACAAATCGGTTTTTGCTCGCGCGAGTCCCTCCCCCTTAAACCAGAGTTACACTCTAGTAAGGTGGGTAACGCGGATGGCGCAAGCCATTCACGTAAAACGGTGTATGTGTCGTGGACGCATGCACCGAGTTGCTGATGGCAAACTCTACCATTGGCAAAAAAACTCACTCCAACTCTTAAAGGAGTGTACGTATCCTCGAAGTATCTCTTCAAGGACACGATTGGCACGTTCCGTCTGACCATCTGACTCTGTATGATCAGATGTTGACATCTTCAAGCGCGTTCCGAGTGATTTGAACACGGAACGCCAGAAATCAGCAGTGATTCGTGGATCTCTGTCTGATACGAGTTCACGGGGCAACCCATGAAGTCGGAAGATGGTGTCAATAAAGACACAAGCACAGCCACTTGCCGTGATTGTCTCTGGTACAGCCACAAGGTGTACCATTTTGCTGAATCTGTCCAACAAATACGAGAATACCCGTATTCCCGCGTGCGTCTTTGGGTAACCCGAAGACGAAATCCATTGAGATGGATTCCCAGCACTCAGCCGGAACCGGTAGAGGCTGTAAAGGTGCACGCAGTAAAGGACTTGACTTCACTCGTTGACAGACTTCGCATGCGCGAACATACTTTCGCACAAACTGATACTGGCGGGGCCAGTAAAAGTCTCGACTTACCGTGAGATGTGTTTTCTCTCGGCCACGATGTCCTCCTATAGGAGCATCGTGATACTCGAACATGATCCGC